CTCTTTCCACACTGTTGGCAGGTGTAAGGCTTCTCTCCCGAGTGAGTTCTCGTGTGCCTTTTGAGGGCTCCTTGTTGAGCAAAGCTCTTTCCACACTGTTGGCAGGTGTAAGGCTTCTCTCCAGTGTGAATTCTCATGTGCCTTTTAAAGGTTCCTTGTTGAGCAAAGCTCTTTCCACACTGTTGGCAGGGAAATGGCCTCTTTCCAGTGTGAGCTCTCACGTGCATTTGAAGTCTTCGTTTTTCATCGAAACTCCTCCCACAATGATGGCAGGTGAAGGAGCTGTTAGATTTGGTTTTCTGAGCTCTTTTTCGTATAGAAGCCATTTTAGACTGTGTGGATTTTTCACCAATTATTAAATCATGGTGTTTCTCACACTGATCTGTCTGTTCCATTTCATTTGGATCTCGTTTCTCCTCTTTCAGCACCAGCAGGTCTAAAGCAAAAAAAGATAAATACAAGTTAACCACAGTTTAAAGCCACAAAGCAAATGATATGAAAAGCAACATGAAAGCATTTAAGGCCAGACACTTCAAACAACTATCGGCCACACGCAGCATCTGGACCAAAAAGCTGCGATTGAACACACCATACAGACTACAGCCAACTGCAAACTAACACGTGCATTCTGTGCGAGAACAATTAGCTGTCTATATCAGCAGCTATCAATAGTATGTATTCGTCATTCAAAAGGAGAAACCAAAACAGGGATATATACCAGATATACGAAACGTAAATAAAGCGGCACTTGCTTACAATTTTGAATATCAGTTATGTTGATAACTTTATTCATTTTTAGCCGCTCATGTTGTTATGAATATATTCACATACTTGGGTAAGATCACGTAACATTAGAACAGCCCTCAGTCTGTGCCGCCTTCATTTACTGGTTTTCATCACTTTCACTTGAATTCTCGGGCACTGATTCGTTCGCTAAACTGAACTTCCAATCAGAGTTCTCACTCTCGCCGACGGCACTGATGAATTCTCGGGCACGGACTCAGTCGCTAAACTGAACTTCCAATAAGAGTTCTCACTCTCGCCGACGGCCCCGACGCCGATTCAATATGTTAAATTGGGCAAACTGCCGCCGACATAGAGGTCTGCTACCCGATCTGAGTCCAACAGGTCTCTAAATATTCTTGGGTTTGGGTCTAGCTTGTAGCTAAACTAAAACTGTATGCAGTAGGTTACGATGCTTTCATAGATGCATGCATACACACATAACTGAACACAGATATCTTTATCTCTTTTATCTCCTTGCACTGGCTACCGGTTGCAGCTCACATCAAGTTCAAGACATTGATGCTTGCATATAGAACAGCCACAGGCTCAGCACCTGCCTATTTCCACTCACTATTACGAATCTCCTCCAGAAGTTCCCTCCAGAGATCCACTAGTGAGCAACGCCATCACAGAGAGGCTCAAAATCACTTTCCAGAACATTCTCGTATACCATTCCTGGCTGGTGAAAAAAACTTTCTTTCTCTTTATTTATTCCTTCCCTTTCTAGCTTGTACTTATTTGTACAATGACTAAAACGTCTCGGTTACGTATGTAACCCTCGTTCCCTGAAGGAGGGAACGGCGACGTCATGTCGGATGACCGACGAATTGGGATCTCGTTTAGAGAGACCAATCCACTTTGAGTGTAAACTAAATGAGCCAATGCACATTGGCATGCGATGATTGCATCCAGCTGCCGCTGATCACAGC